TGGCGAGTGACCGATTCCGGCGCGTTCCGCGATTCGCGTTTTTGGCGGCGCGAGGCGCGAGGAGAGAAGAGCGAAGAGCGAGACACGAGGCGGGCGATGAAAATGGATGAAGCCGCCGAATAAATTAGGCAGAGCGAACAGGCCGAGAAAATGGATTTAATTAGACGGAACATTTCGCGTCGGGCTCGCCGGGGAGTGCGGCCAGTGGAAGGGGAGGGGGGAGGCCAGGGCGGCCACGCGAAAAATGGAATTCAAGTGTTACTGGTTGGAGGTTTGCCGAGTGTCACAGCAAACAGCAAACTGATTCCGAGAGTCGTTCTTGCCCGAGGGGGTAACGACTTCGGTAATCCGGTTGACACAACAGCAAATTGGTAATCTGTAATCCGGATGACCCAAAATTTTGAGGTAATCTGGGGTAAAAGTCCCGGGTAATCCGGAGTAATCCTGCGTGGCCCAAAGGCGATCCAGGAACTTTTGTTGTAATCCATTTTGTTGTAATCCGGGGGGCAGTCCGGGTAATCCGTAACCCGACTGACACGAAATTTGCCAGTCGTTACCTACTGGTTCTTGCCGCTCTGTCCTCTCGCAAACATGCGGGAGGCCCCATGAGTGCGAGAGAGACGGAGCGACGACTCTGGGAGTCAGTCCGCGGTGTCACGGTGCGTGACCCGTGACGCGCCACGGACAGCGCTGCGCGACGCTGCGTGCGTGGCGGGCGTGGCGCCGTGCCCTGGTGACGGACAGAGAGGCGGGGCCAGGCGGGGCGAGCCAGAGACGGGGCGAGCGTGACGCATGACGAACGTCCCGCCTGCTCACGGCCATGGGCCCTGTGACCTGCCTGCCTGCCCTGGCCTGCCTGCCTGCCTGCTGCCTGCCTGCCTGCCTGCCTGCCTGCCTGCCTGCCTGCCTGCCTGCCTGCCTGCCTGCCTGCCTGCCTGCCTGCCTGCCTGCCTGCCTGCCTGCCTGCCTGCCTGCCTGCCTGCTGCCTGCCTGCCCTGCCTGCCCCTGCCTGCGCCTGCCTGCCTGCCTGCCTGCCTGCCCTCCTGCCTGCCTGCCTGACTGGTTGCCTGCCTGCCTGCCTGCCTGCCTGCCTGCCTGCCTGCCTGCCTGCCTGCCTGCCTGCCTGCCTGCCCGCCTGGCTACCGGTCTCGGTCCGCGCGGCCCCCTCCGGGGCCCCCTTGGGGCTGGCGGGGAGGCAGGCAGGGCCCCAGGGGGGCAGGGCGTGGCCTGCCGGGGCCTCCGGGCGCAAACGAGGAAATGAGTCGGTGGAGCTTAACACGATCTGGCCGACGCTCTTTCGATCCATTTTTATTCATTTCTGTTTGTTTGTGTTTTTCGGCGGCAAATTACGCGGGGCGCGTGCAGCGCCGCGTGACGTCATGGTGACGTCACGCAGAAGGGACGCGCCTACAGTGTAGGCCCTTGTTGAGTCAACAGCAGCGTAGCGTATCGCGGACGAATTCGGATTCCCTGATTGCGAGCCGCTTTTACCGCGCTGTGTTTCGGCGGTTCGTCGCTCTGTCTCTCTCGCACCCTTGCGGACCTTGCGGACGTTGCGGAGCGCACCGCGAGTGCGAGAGAGACAGAGCGACCCAGCGAATCTTTTGCATCGTTCAGCAGCAAACACGCGTCCTGTTTCGGCGGCCAGCAGCGCAGTCGGCACGCGCCAATCCAAACACGAATCCGCCGGCCGACTGAGAGTGAGCGTTTCCGTCGCTCTGCCTCTCTCGCTCTCACGGGCACCGCGTATAGGTGCGAGGGAGGCAGAGAGACGAAATCGGCGTCAGTCTGCTGCCCGCGAATCCATCAGCCCTTCCATCCCCCAGCAGCCGTGCGACCGGCGAAAATCGCCTGCCAAAGCGGGGATTCGAACCCGCGCCCCCCGCGGCCCACGCGTCGCACGTACCACCCCATCCAGCCGCGCTGTGGACGTATCGGTACGCATTGCAGACTTCCACGCTCCTCTGTCGTCGCTCCGACTCTCTCGCACTCGTGGGATGGCGTAGGTATGCGACCGGAGCGACCGCAACGTTGCTCGCGGAATCAGTCTGCTCGTGGAGCCACGTGTGTACACTGTTCACAGCGCCACACTCCGCGCGTCCTTTTATTGTGCACAGTAAAGCTAAGCACTCCGGGTCCAGGACGTCCAGGGAAAGGGGGGAGGGGGGTAAGATGGTTGGAAAGGGCGGGGGGGGGAGGGAGATTAAGAGTAGGGGAATGGCTGGGGATAAAAATGATGATGACACGACGGGGTGCGAAGAGGGCCGACAGAGAGAGGGACGGGCGGCAGACTGATCCGAGAGTCGTTTTGGTCGCTCTGTCTCTCTCGCACCCACGCGGGACGGCCCATGAGAGCGAGAGAGACAGAGCGACCAAAACGACTCTCGGAATGAGTCTGCCGCTCGAAGAAGAGCCGCAAGAGAGAGAGGGGGACACTGTTAGCGGAGCCGCGGCGTCGGACGAAGATGACTCCCACCTGAGTCAGCGGGAGAGAGAGATGTCCGTGGCGCCGCCGTCGTCTAGTCCGTCTTCCTCTGCGCCCCTCCGGTCCCCTTCGGCGCTCTTCGGTCCCTGCCGCGAGGCTAGGCCAGACCAGACTGCGTGGCGTGCGGGGCGTGCGGGGCGTGCCGGGGCCGAGCAACTCGCCAACCTGCCGCCGACGGAGGACCGACACTGTATGCTCTGCCTGACTCTGCCGTGCCGGACTGAGGGAGGGCCCCAGCCGCGCCGTCAGGGGGTTGGTCTGTTGCGTGCGGCGGCACGGCGACGGGGCCCCAGCGCCGCGCCAGCAGGCGCCAGCGCCCTCTGACGGCAGCGCGCCGAACCACCACGAGCAGCCGCTGCGCCCCATGAGTGCGAGAGAGATAAACCGATTCTGTGAAATGAGTCTGCTGGCTGCAACCAACTACTGAAGCCAACCGTACCTACCTGACATAACCCTCTTCACGCTGAAAGACAAACAGAGTTTGGCCAACCGACTGCTTTTGACGTTGACAAGTTCGACTGCTTGATTAGTTTCGGCTCGGGTTTCGGCAGTGCTCTGCCGAGAGCGGACTGCCCTCGGGGGCAGTCCTCCCGTTCGCCCGCCGACTGCCGCATAGGCAAGCCCGGATGCAGGGCTCCGAGCGGGTTGCATAGTAACCATTTCTCACGGGGTCCGTGACCCACCTGTACCCACCTGGTACGTACATCTGCGATTTGGCACAAACTTTTTGGTATTTTTCAGTCAACCTGTATGGGCACTGAATGACATTCGATTATTATTTTTTTCCTGATCCTTCTTTCACGCCCGGGGCATGGGGGCCACTGTGAGGCAGCGAGTCGCGTCACCCACCAAACGGCCCAACCAGTGAAGTGGGTATAGATTCTTAACTTGAGATTGCTAGTCTTTTGAATGAAAATGTCGCCAGTTTTGAAGTACGCGCCACTGCCAATTTTAAGCCCATTTCCCTTGTTAGTTTAACCAACATAAGAGCGTGGTGGGGTTGGTCGCGCGTGTGTGAGTGAGTGTGAGGGCAGGCTGGGGCAGGCGGATGAGGGGGTGATTTGAAGGGTGGCACTTTTCGAGGCTCCGTCCCGCCCCGCCCCGCCGAGTTCGCCTTATTAGGCCGTCAAAAGGGATGTCGCGGAACTTGGAACGAAGACGCCTGGAAGACCCGCCGAGCAAGCGGAGCGCGGAGCCAGCCATGCAGAGCCAAGCCACAGCCCGGCAGTGGTAAAACTTGTTAAGCCCCGCGGTTTAGATTCCGAGGACACAATTTGCCGCTTCATTCCCCGCCATGCACTGACACGTGACTGACACGGGCCTGACACGCGACTGACACGGGCCTGACAGGCGACTGACACGACTGCCAGGGGCACGCGACTGACACGGACCTGACATGGGACTGACACGCGACTGACACGGGACTGACACGCGACTGACACACGTCACGCCGTGATCGCTGACCCCATCCATCACCGCGGCAAAAGTGGCCGAACAAAGGGAATGCCTCGGAAACCCTTCCCCGCGGGCTGTCTCCGAAACAATGCTTCATCGCTCTGTCTCTCTCGCGCCTCTGGGGGACGCCCCTTGAGTGCGAGACAGGCAGAGAGCCGAAATGAAGTGTCCGGATTTCCGTTGCCTCCGCTCCTTCTCCTTCTCCTTCGCCGCGGTGCGAGAGGCCGGCCGTCCCACCTCGGCAGTCCCCCGCTGTCCTTCTGGCGCCCATACGGGACGCCCCTTGAGTGCGAGAGAGACAGAGCGACGAGGAGGCCTCTCGAAATGAATCTGCAGCCTGCGGATGGGCGAGGCGACATGTGGCACGGCCGCGGCGACACTCACCGCGTGACCCGCGGCCATGGGGCCATCGGGCATGGGGCGTCAGAGTACCTCGAAGCCCCGGTGCGGCGCCAGCATGCTTCGTAGAAGCTCAGCACGAAGGCAGAGATACGAATCTCGGCCTTATCGACCGACCGGGCAGGGCAAGGGGTGGGGGGGGGGGGTCAGGGGTCAGGGGGTGGCGGGGCACCCGGCAGGCCCCCGGCCGCCCCGGCCTGCCCCTAGCCTTCCTCCCTCTGTCTCTCTCGCACTCATGGGGCTTCCCCTTCGGATGCGAGAGAGACAGAGCGACGAGGTGATCCTTCGGAATCAAGTGGCAGGGGCACTGACATAGTGACGCGTTGCGCCCAGCAAACAAAACAGTGCAGCATCTCCTTCCAGGTCATCCATGACGTCAGGGCCTCTCAAGTTCAAGTTACCGCGCCCTGGCGTGTGATGGGTTGCCTACCCTGCGGGCGGCGCCATAGGACTCGTGAGCGTGACGCCACGGCCAGTGCGGCGGAGAACGGGCGACGGCCCTGCGTTTTAGTTTTGGTTCGCAAGCATCAAACTCATTTTCTGTCGGAAAGAATGGTACCCCGAACATTCGCAGCCCCTCCTTTTCGCGCCCTATTTTCAAACTGATGCGCGGGGAGATTTTGGTCCCCTGCGGCGAGAGGCGTTTGCCCGGCCTCGTGGCTTGTAAACAAGCAACAAGCAACCACTACCGCCGCAACACACCGCACCGCACTCGACTCGACAATCCCACCTTGTCTCGTCTTGATCGGCCGCTTCGGAAACTATTTCAAATCGGGTCCAAGCGCAAGCAAATGCCTTGCTAATTGGTTGAGACGATTCGTCTGCCATCGTTGCAACGGAGGTGATGTCACGTTCGTTTCTTTCGTGCCAAAGCCGATGTTGCGCTGCAAACTGAGGCTCCGTTCGGGATACCGGTGACTTCAGTTCCAAAGATTTTCTCCTTTTCTGACTATACTCCAACATAATTCAGAATCGTCATTTTTGCCTGTTTGAAGTTTGTCTGGGCTGGTCGATAGTTGCGTGGGAGACTCTCTCCTTTTTGTATAATTTTATCCATTCATGATCTCTGTAACCTCTTCCTTAACCATCTTTCTTGTTGTTCTGTTTATTGAACAAAAAGTACAAAACTTACCTATTTGGTCATTTTTTTTATTGTTAATGCTTACTTTTCTCGTTTTGTTCCCTTTCAGTCATGGCGTCTGAGGAGTTTGAGTGCACACAGGTCTTACACACCTCATTTGACACATCGTGCGAGGATCTCTCCGCAACCAAAGTTCAGGTCAGTTTGCTCTGCTTCGCTGTGGTTGTGTGCTGTCATTGATATAATAATCTGTGTGTTCTTATCCCTTGCTTCCTGGTCTTAGGTTGCTACACTAAAAATAAATGAAGCTGAATACTCAATTTTTAACGGTGACACGAAAATAGGCAGAGACCCAAAACAGTGTTTAGTAGCTATCGACAGAAAGGTAAAAACTTGTTGTTAATACATGTTGTGAGTTGAAGGGCAACATCTGCATCAAATTGTATCTGTTTCAGAGTGTTTCTTCGCACCATGCACTGATTGAGGTTGAATCGGGCCATCATATTATTTGTGATTTGGGGAGCAGCAATTCCACCCGTCTTAATGGAGTGTGTTATCCAACCCTCTTTACTTTTAAAATTTCCTTCTATATGATTATTACTATTAATTAACTTTCTTTTGTGTGGTACAGATGCTTCTCAAACCTAATGTGAGGTATAACTTACCAGATGGTGCTATTGTCCAAGTGGCTGACTTGCGTGGCACATACCATATTTTACCTCTCAAGGTATGGTGTTTGTTTCTTATATGATTGTCTTTTAAGTATTATATCCAATTTAACCTTTAAATCCTTTATTGCAGAAACCTGAAATGGAAACATCTGTTCAAGGTATAATTGATACATTAGCATTCTTCTATTTTAACTATTGTTACAAACAATTTTTGACTCCAATGGTTTTCTTTTTTCCACAGATATATTTGATTCACCTTGCAACAAGATTAATACTCCTAAGCGTTTCAGTTTGGTATGAGATACATTTATTTTTCATATTGGTTTTCTTTTATGTTTCTCTTGAAATTACCCTACTCCAATTTTAATTTTCAGAATGACTCTGATGATATTATAGAAAGTACTCCAATGAGGAAAGTGTTCAAAAAGCCATTCCCTAAAATACAACCATCCACTTTGAATGAATCAGTCCATCTGCAAGACACCATCTATGGAAACCAAAATGATATGCTCTATGAAGCAGAAACACAAATTGGATCCGATCTGGAAAATGGAAGCAGGAACTCGTCATCAATATTGTCTGAAACTTTAGATGACAGTGTTGCAGTAAGGGATGCTCCTTCTTTCTTTGTTCCTTGCACTCAAGATATGCTCTCTGAATCAAGCTTAAATCTGCATTATGATACTGACAAAAGTGTAGATGCTTCAACATCAGAAACCAAAGAAGGTACTGTGCCAACAGATTCTGCAAAACGAGAAGAATCCAGTGAGCAAGGCGAAGTGGACCTGTTTCTTAATGCTGAAGAGCAGACTGTCTCTGATCCCAGTGGTTCCAATAATTGTCAATCTGAATACGACATGGATTGTGAGGATCTAGTTAAACATGTGGAGAAAATTGAAAGGAGTCTCAGCTCAGAAAGCATGAATGCTTCCAGATGTCAAGAAACTATGGATCATCTTTCTCCAAATAAACAACCTGCAGCTGATAGACATACTGAAATGCAAAATTCTTGTTCTGCACATGATTCTTCAACGCGTTTGACAGATGCCAATGGAAGTGATGAAATCAAATCATGTGCTGAGGGAGTAGAGAATCCCAACAATATCCATGATGAAACAGATGAGGAAGGACTTGTCAGGGATAGTTCCAATGCGAATATTCATGATGCTAAAACACAATGTTTACCAGGAGGTGTTGACTCGGAACCAGAAACAGGTAGTGTGAACATGCATGCCAGTGATGGTACCCTCAATATTCATGATGCAAAGACTCAAATAGTAAGTGCTAATGATACAGACTCCGAAACTGATGAGGAGGGAGTGTATGGAGCTTGCACTGAAATGCCGCATCATCCAGGTTCATCTGTTGCTTCCAAAGGTGAGAAGAAAGATTCTGATGATATTCATGATGCAAAGACTCAATTTGTGTCCGCTGAACATTCGGACTCAGAAACCGATGAAGAGGGAGTGTATGGTGCTAGTACTGAGAGGGCACCTTTATATAATACCTCTGAGAAAAACATTTTCAAGAAGAAAAATGCTGAAGATATTCACGATGCCAAAACTCAAATTGTGCCTGTGAACAATTCTGACTCAGAAACTGATGAGGAAGGAGTGTATGGTGCTTGCACTGAAAAACCACAAATTTTGGCTTCAGGTGATACTTCTGAAGATACCGCCGCAGAAAAAAGCAAAATGGAAGAAGTTCATAATGCAGAAACACAATATGTTGTTGCAAATTGTTCAGCTTCAGATACGGATCATGGTGATATTTACAGGGCTGGCACAGAAAAGCCTGAGAGCCTTCATAACATTCATGATGCCAAAACTCAACTCTTCACCATTGAAAGTGCCTCAAACTCCCAGCTAGATTCTGAAAGCATTTTGGATATGAACACCAATGAAGGAGAAGAAGCCGATATTCATGATGCAAAGACACAAATGGTGTCCAAAATTTCTGACTCAGAAACGGATGACGAGAGAGTATATGGTGCTTCCACTGAAAGACCAGGCAATGTGGCTGTGGGCTCTGCTTCTGAAGAGGACATTTCTGCCCACAAAGAATCACGGGATATTCATGATGCCAAGACTCAAATGGTTTGTGCAAAGGATTCTGACTCAGAAACAGATGAGGAGGGAGTTTATGGTGCTTGCACTGAGAAACCAGGCAATTTAGCTACAACATTTGCTGTGGAAAAGGGTGGTTCTGAAGGCAAAGAATCAGAAGATATTCATGATGCCAAGACTCAAATGGTTTGTGCAAAGGATTCTGACTCAGAAACAGATGAGGAGGGAGTTTATGGCGCTTGCACTGAGAAACCAGGTAATTTAGCTACAACATTTGCTGTGGAAAAGGGTGGTTCTGAAAGCAAGGAATCAGAAGATATTCATGATGCAAAGACTCAAATGGTGCTTGCTAATGATTCTGACTCAGGAACTGATGACAATCATGTGTATGGTGCTTGTACTGAAAAGGCAGAACACATTGATAACATTCATAATGCTCAAACGCAACTTCTCACCCTTAATAGAGCCACATCACATATTGTCAAAAGCAAACCTGGCAGTATTGGCACTAAGAATACTAATGGTGTTGAAGTAGAAGAAGACAATGGTATTCATGATGCGAAGACTCAGATGTTAATCAGCAGTTCGCATTTAAAAATTGATGATTTAGGTCCAGGTGAAAATTTTGAAGAAGCTGATTCAGAGAAGAAAGATTCAGACAATATTCATGATGCCAAAACTCAAATTGTACATGCTAATGGCTCAGACTCAGAAACAGATGAGGAGGGAATGTACGGTGCCTGCACTGAAAGACTTACTTCAGCAAAAGCTTCTGAAGATATTCATGAAGCAAAGACGCAAGTAGTATCTGTCAACGATTCTGATTCAGAAACTGATGAGGAGGGAGTTTATGGAGCTTGCACTGAGCAACACCTTGATGTTGCTTTAACCAATGCTTCTGATGCATCTGTCGCCGAGAAAAAAGGATCAGAAGATATTCATGGTGCAAAGACTCAAATCATTTCGGCAAATGAGTCAGGTTCAGAAACGGATGAAGAGGGAGTCTATGGAGCTTGTACTGAGAGGATTCCTGAGATGACTGTGGACAGTGTATCTAGTGCAAGCAAAACACCAATTATGTCTAATAACACTCGTTCAAAAACCTTTGACAGCAAAGAAGAAGCCAACAATATTCACATTGCCAGTACTGAGATGGCTCAATTCACTGTTGATAAAACTGGTACTGCTGGCAACCAGACATCTGATAGTGCATTTTATGATGCAGAGACTCAAATATTACCAGAGCTTCTCTCAAAATCTGAAAATGTACATCATCAAAATGTTGCAAAACAATCTATTGCTCTAAAGGCAAGTCCAAAAAAGAGACTCTCACTCTCTTATAGGAAGAAAATGGGAGGTGCAAATGATGACTCCAAGAGAAGAAGTGTCAGCCCTTCCAAAGGTACTGATCAAACTAATGAAGATAATATTTCTACTGCAGCAACACAGTTGTTACCAAATATTGAAGATGATATTTCTACTGCAGCAACACAGCTGTTACCAAAAGTTGAAGATGATATTTCTTCTGCAGCAACACAGATGTTACCAAAAGTTGAAGATGACATATGCTCTGCAGCGACACAGAAATGTGAAAGCCCTAGATTTAGCAGAAGATTAAAGGGCATAACCGCTAATGAGACTGCTCACTCTTTCGACTCGCCAAAAACTCCCAGTCTCCGTCAAATTCGAAACACTGACACCTCCACTCCATTTTGGAGTGCCAAATCGAAATTGAGTAAGGATGATAGCAAAAGCTCTGAAGAAGACATGTGTTTTGCTGCTACTCAGATTTTGCCAGACCCTGGCTCAAGCAGAATTGGTGTTTCACCAAGTCCCATTCCAACAAGAAACAGCCCAGGAAAAAGTTTAAATCTAAGTCATGATATATTCAATGATTCAACTCGAATTTGGCCAAGCCCTGGGTCAAGCCGAAAAACTAGGAGTCAAAATAGCCAAGATAACGTCAATCCTTGTGATTCCTCAGAAGAGAAACCTAGCCAGACAAGATCTTCAAGTGAAAATGTAAATCATAACAGCCCTGGGCCGAGCTACAGAAGAAGCAGTCAAAATTTACTTAAAGAAACTGATAACATTTCTGAACCTTCGAGTGTTGCTACAAGAAGAACTCCAGGCCTTCTTCCAACTCCAGAATTGGCTGGTCCTGGTCCACGCTCAAGCAGGAGAACAAGTGATCAAAGTCCATGTAAAGAAAATAGCTTTTCTGCCTCAGGTGCACTGGAAGTTTCTTGCACAACTCCAAGCATGGGAGACAGCAGTAAAAGTCCCTCAAAAGAGAGCACTGTGCCAGTCAAACCATCACCTAAGTCGGCTGAAATGAGACCAGCTCTTGGATCAACGGAATTGAGCAAAGTTGATCCCATATCCCCCAAACCTTCTTCCTCTCGCAGAAGTGTTTCTTTTGCTGAGAACATTCAGGTTTTGTCCAATCCTGGAAGTACTACCCAAGTTGCAGGAATTGAAAAGCTCTCTAAATCAACGGCTCAAACTCGAAGCAAAAGGAGCCCCAAGAAACGTCCTAGTCTTGAGAAACAAGGTAATAAAAAGAAACGACACTTAGGGTCTTCTGTATTGGAAGTTGACATTGAAGAATCAAGTAGTGATTCAAATAAGTCTCAAGATTGTTTGATTGATGAGGGTAGTCCTCTGCCCGCTCAACAAAATGAAGACAATGCTATTAGTGATGCAGAAGAACCTGTGCAGGCAAGAACTTCAACCTCTGCTCAATCACCCATGAAAAATGTAAATCAACAACAAACTTCTTTGTTCGAACATGAATCCACTAGTCCCATAGTATCACGCAGTAAAGGCAGGAGAACATTATCCTTGTCTAGGTCCAAATTTAGCCCTCAAGGTTTCATGTCTCCAGAGGGACTAGCTGGAAAAATGTCTTCTGATGATTCTTCACCAAAATTGGAAGGAGTAATGGCTTCACCTACAGAGCCAAATGATGAGAAGCCCAACGAGATCATAGGAAATGTGACCTCTGCACCGAATTCCCAGCCTTCCAAGCAAGAGGCTGCTGCAAAAGTGGCGAGAATAATACCTTCCTCCAAACAGCCAAAGAATGAGGAGCCAAATGAGATTAAAAATGTTACGACTGTCACAAGAAATTCCCAACCTTCTGAGGATGAGGCTGCCACAAAGGGTTCAAAACCACCAAAGTCATTAGAAGGTTCCACACTTGAAAAGAAAGATGGGCCTATCAGGGAACCTAAAAGTAAAGGTGCTTCCACAAAAGGAAAAAGTAAGAAAACCACAAATTCCCAGTCTAATGTTTCAGCAGAAGCTCATGAAAGTGCACAGCCTCAAGTAGAAGAGACCTCAGAAAAATCAAATTCAAAAATTGGGTTGTCTGGCCAATCAAGATTAAGCAGATCAACACAACAAGCATCCCAGGACATTTCTTCAGAGGCCTCTGTAGTCAGCAAAATATCTATTCGGACTAAGAATCAACCCTCTAAGAAGCCTATTAAAAAATCAGGAACCGTAACTGAAGCTGAAAGTTCAACCACTCTAGAGCCTTCTGACAATAAGTTGGCCAACACTTCGAAAGAAACTAAGTGCAACTCTCAAAAGGTTGCAGATTCTAAGTCTGGAGATTCTGATTCAACCTCTCTTGCTAAGGACAGTGCTTCAGTGAATGAATCAACGCCTGCCAAGTCATCTCGGCGTTCTTCACTTAAAAAACAGGATGGCGTTACTAAAGAATCAAAACCTAAACCTGGACCAGCAAAAAAGATTAAAGCCAGTAAAAATAAAGACAGCCAAAGTCAAGATAATTTGGTATCAGATGGAGAAGGACGAAGAACCACTCGAGCAAGAAGGCAACCAGACAAAGACATCAAAGGTACTGAACTAAATATTAATGAGCAGATAAACTTAAAGAAAATTTCAGAATCTTCTAATAGTCTTGAATCCATTCCTGAAGATGTGAGTGCTCCCCAGAGTCAAGGCGGAAGACCCACTCGTGCCAAGAGACAGCTTGTCACAGTACCTGAAGACCACACATCAGCTGCTGGGAGTGCTTCTCAGACGAGCAACTCATCTGCTGCTGGTGATCGTAGGTCAAGCCGCCTCAGGAAACAAACTGTAGCTTTAAAAGACTATGACTGCTCTGGTGAGAGTCAAAGCCAAGAATCAAGTTCCACTGATCAAGTCAGTGCTGCAAGCAGCAGTGATCACCCCAAAGGAAGGAAATCTAGCCGTAACACAAAACAGAAAAATGATGCAAAATCAGGCCCGCAAGTGAAGGGTGTTAAACGCATTTCGTCAGATGTAGCTGATCAAGACACTATGCCTTCCAAACAGCCTCGGACAAAAAGTGATTTGTCTTTGACCTTGGAAACTAGTGTCCAAACTACCAATGTACTGGACATAAGTGCTGGGCCATCATCACTTAAGAGAGAAAATACATTAAATGATTCAGTAGATTCAGAACCTGAAAGCAAACGCCGCAGAGGCAGACTTGACAGTGTTGCTTCAATAAACTCAAGTCCTCGAAGGAGCCCTCGGCAGGTAAAGAGTCTTTCATTCACTGAACAATTTTCATTTTCATTCATATTTCTATATAAAATTATATCTTATTTCTGTTACTTTCATTTTCAGAGCTTCAGAGGAGCTGCATCTACGTCTACCATTCGCATTTTGTTTTCTTTTTACAATAATCCAAGGCAGGAATCTTTTATGAAGCAGCTTGGTGAGTGTGTGACTTCAATATTTCCTGATAAATAGTGACTGAACTTAGTGCTCATCTGCCATGTTATATGTTACAGGTGCTTCTATTGTCAACGATGTTGACTCTGCCGATGTTCTGGTTACTGATAAATTAAGGAGAACTGTTAAACTTTTAAGTATAGTTGGAAAAGGTCTTCCAGTTGTAAGTCCTAGTTGGCTTCTTCAATGCAAGCGTGCTGGGCGATTACTGGGTGGGTAGTATTCTTGGTTCAAGCATGATGGTTCAAGTAAGAAATCAATTTGTTCAAGAATATCTTGTTCATGAATGTGTTGGAATGTGCATGTCTGCAGATCCATGGGAGCATTTGCTATCAGATCTCGAGTCTGAAGCAAAATTTAATATGAAGCTTGAAGAATCTCTAAAAAAAGCAGCTGGTCAACCTATCCTTCAGGATCAGCATATTTTTGTTACAGAAAGTGTAAAGCCAGAACCTGAAGAAATGAAAGGTACACTAGCAAATCTATTCCATTCTTTTTCAGTGGTGTTTCTTTGAAAAATTTTACTTTCTCCTAACCCTGCATATTGCTTTGTTCCAGCCATTATTCTGAGCTGTGGTGGCCACTGCCTCCCTCGTGTGCCAAGCGTTTGGCCCAACAATAGTATTATCATTTCCTGTGAGGAGGATAAAAACGTCTGGAGTAACTTAAAGGGAAAGGTCTCTATCGTATCGGCCGAATGGCTGCTCTCAGGCGTTTTGAGACAGCAACTTGAGAGTAAGAAGTTCCTCCTGAAGAGAATTTAGCAAGATGTTAATATTGTTATTGTCCCTTTTAATTCAGCCAAAGTCATTCTTTAAAAAAAATATTTTTTTTTTTTATACTTTATGTTTCTATTGTATCATGAAACATTCTCTTCTAGAGATACTATGGCAATAAAATTTTGTTCTGCTGAAGCTGAAGCTGCTTGTGTGTTGACTTAAGTTTCTTCCTGAATGTACCTGAAAATTTCGTAGAGTCACCTTTTGCCCCCTTTGCACATCCCACAAGTCTTCAGGATTGATTATAAGCAATTACTTGGAATACTCTTGTATGTGAATCATTTATTTCAACAAAAACATACAAAAACCGAGATGAAGTTACAAAAACTTGTGACTTTGAGTTACTGGCTAACCTAGCTGTGACATTTTATGGAAGTTATCATAAAAAGACTTAATAAAACATATGGGCAAATCTTCGGTGCTAATTGTCTACGTCACCGCATATATCTTACCAAAAAGATAAAAACAGGTCGATCCGCAAAGAGCTGCCCTTTATTTTTCAATGTAAACTGATTCCTACTGAGCAGTGTAAGCTATTTTAATAATCATCTCTGACAAACAGGTCTCATCTTGTTCTAAAAAAATGCCTTTACATTTTCATATCACATTGGCACAGTCCGCGAAGATCTAATGTTGTCAAACTAGGGTACAGAGGGAACGAGAAATTACTTAGGAATTATTCGTCCAAATTGAGCCACTCGAACATCTCCCTTTCAAGCTCCTCCACGTTACAGACACATGCACACACACAAACACACTCACACTGTTCACACAAAGTCTTGAGGCTCACGCACACACTCATTTACAACAATTTTAAGTCATGACATTGGCACACCTGAGTCCAGGGTCACTGGCACACCCTTTGTATTGAGCCTTGGTAGACCGCGAGGCCTCTAGGCCCTCATTGGCCTTGGCCCTTTGGCCCTTTGGCCCTTTGGCCCCTGCCACCGAGATAAGGATTAGGCGTGAGGGTGTCACCACAGCCGGCCGGGGCCCACCTGGGACACCACCTCACACGGCCCCGGCGCGCAGCGGTTGGCGTGGCGCTGGTACACTGTGCCCTCCTCGCAACGGAACCGGAAGTCAAGCAGCTGTCCGCGGGAGAAGCCCGGCGAGCAGTAGTGGAACATGCGGCAGTCGCTGGGGTCGTCGTGGAAGGCCTTGAGCTGGCGGCCGGCGCAGACGAACTGGGGTGGAGGCGCCGGGGGTGGCGATGGAGGAGGTGAAGATGGCACGTGGTTGAGTAGCCCTGCCTGCGTCGTGGTCGCTTCATCCCGCAGGAGGTTGTCGGCTACTCTGAAGCGGTGGTCACCGCTCGCCGTGGAGGTCGGGGAGGGCGTGGTTGAGGCCGAGGCTGTCCTCAGGGGCACAGCCACCTGGTTGGCCTCCGCCCTGTCGGCCTTGGTGTCACTGGGGGCCGCCGCCGGCTTGGATGTCACGGGGTCCAGGATCTGCCTTGGCTTGTCGTTCGGCGGTGGAGTTGAGCCGTCGTAGCCTTTGACGGACTGCGTGGTGATGGCCGCTTCATCCTGGAGGAACTCGGTGACGTCTTCGGTGACGTCACCAGCGGCACGGCCTGCGAGGTAAGGGTCCTCGTCTCGCAGGCCCGCCAGGCTCGCCAGGCCGCGCTCCGCGCCGTGGTCCGCGGCCTCGCGGTCGCCGTCGAAGGCCGCCGTCGTGCCGCCAGCGGGGTGGACGGCACGGGGCGTCGTCGAGTAGGCGGCGGCCTTGCCGACGACGGTCACCTTGGCCGCCTCCACGGTCGTGGTCGTTGGCTTGTTGGTCTCGATGAGGGGTTCGTAGTTGTCGTCGACGTAGTCGTCCGGGTTGAACACGCGCTCCGTGGTGGACGTCGGCCTCGACGTCGGCGCCGACGCGTCGCTGTACCGGAAGTACGTGGCGGGCGGCGCCTGCTGCGGCAGCGCGACGTCGGCGTCCAGGTCGGCGTCGAGGAGACGGCTCTGCGCGGCCGCGGCCGACTGAGGCACGGCGTCGTAGTCGGGGTAGTACACCTCGAGCGGGCTCGGCGTCGGAGCCGCGCGCCGCCGCCGGCGTCGGCCCTCCACAACGACGTCCTGCAGCACGGCCAGCGCGGCCAGCGAGCGCGACGAGCGTCTGGCGACGCCGCCGAAGCCCAGGTCCGCGTCCGCCAGCAGCGCGCACTCCACCTCGGCCTCGGCGTCGCACGCGCCCTGCCGCTGGTCGAACAGTGTGCCCGGCGGGCAGGGCTGCGTGGACAGGAGGCGGGGATTCGAACCCGGGTCCGCGTGGCACACGTGGAACTGCTCGCAGCCCGAGGACACGTCCGCGAACAGGCCCGGCTCCTTGCAGAGGAAGGCGGCCGCTCGATCCTCTCGACCTGCGGCATAGGAGACAACTTGCAGTAAGACACCTGGATAAAAACTTGCGTGAAGGTGCGTGCATGCGAACGCGCCTCTCTACACCGCGGCCATGTGGCACAGGGCAGTGCGCAGTGACCTAGGTGAGTGAGGGTGGTGTGAATTTGAAAGCGGAAGGTTTTACAAGCTGTTGAAAAAACGACTGGGTCCAGTGCTCTCACACACTCGCACAAACAAATGCAGAAACAGAAGAGTAGGCTTGAAAATGGTGCGGAATGGCCAAATACAGCGTCACTTACTTGACCGCCAGCAGTGATCAGTCAGATTGTCGGTCACTTGTGTAGGGAATGACCTGGAAAATGACACAATTGATGACGATGGCGATGATGAAGATGATTAGCCCCCTCCATGCAGTAGAGACACAACGACAACGCAGTGTGGTATCATGCACAAGGCATACTACGAGTTACAGTGACCCAGAGAAGCATTTGTCAAATTCTACGACAATGGTACTAGGAGAGGAAGCCCATTAAGATGCCATTCTCATGCAGCCTTATTGCTCTGCAGCTCGAGTGAGACGGAAACGTCAGTCTCTCTCACTCTGTTCCGTGGACTGATGACTTCTGACTTTGACAGATCGCTTTCTTTTAACTAGAGTTCGTTGGATTAAAATAAATTGGAGTTGGATTTTCTTTTGACTGAAAACGTTGGCTCACCTGTCGTTTGTCGTTGGGGCGACCGCTTGTTCCTGGAGGACGCCTTAGCCGAGTCAAAGAACGGGAGGGTCACCGGCTCTGCAAGCCAACATTGCTATCAGTTTAATCAATAAAAACAAGAAAAAGAAAAACGACTCACGCCGGCAGCCGAAACTCTGGACGCGTTTTGAGCTCCAGAGTCACTAAATGGGACTCGACCCCACCACTGGATTGCTCTCCGAACGAAGAATCCATTGGTGGGGTCACCACACGCTCGATTCGAGTCCTGTTCAGCGACTCTGCAGCTCAAAACGCGTCAAGAGTTTTGGCCGCCTCTACTGGTCGGTCCTCGGGCCCACTGTGCGACCGCTGGGTTGGGTGATCCCAGAGCACGCACGGCACGCACCTTCGGGCGGCGGGATCCGGAAGTGCGCGTTGAGGTTGTAGTACCGGGTGGACACGCTGCAGTCCACCAGCTCCCTGGCCTGGCAGGTGCGGCTGCGCTGGTTGAAGCGCGTGCCGGGCCCGCACATGAACTTGTTGTCCTGGAGGCTGCAATCAATTCGACAACACATCAGGCGAGCCATTTTATCACTGTACACTGTAAGTTACAAGCGGGAATCCAGTGGCGGTGCAAAAGGACAATTGGCCCGTCGATAGCCGCCAGAAAGTTAGGCAAAACGCCAAGCCCCTCCCCCACACTGTGAGACACTTGGTTTGACAGTGCAGGCGTGCTCCGGATCCACTGTAAGTCAGTCACCAGGGGCTCGGAGGCTCGGATTATCCGAGGCGGTAATTCCCCTTGTTGTAAACCGACGCGGTGCTCGCTAAGCGAAATGTCTGTCACAGCTTGGCAGCCTGCTTCACGTAGTTATACGAGCGGCGGGGCGTAGCGGGGCGTGGCGGGGCGCCGGCCCTGACCCCCGCGCCCCACTGCGCGGCTGGGGCGGCTGGGGCTGCGAGCGGATCCTGAACAGCGCTCTCGTCGCTCCGTCTCTCTCGCACTCACGGGCAGGTCCGTAGGGTGCGAGAGAGACGGACAGACGGGCCCGCCGTTCGGGAGCAGCCTGCTGGACGGGACCGCTCCACGTTAAAACGGCATGGTTACTGGCAGAGACCGGAGCGGTGCCGCGAAGCCGCGAAGCCGCGAAGCCTTGCAGACCGCGAGAACCCCGCCCAGCAGACTGATTCCAAGAGTCGCTTTCGTCGCTCTCTCTCTCTCGCTCCGACACGGGACGCCCCGTGAGTGCGAGAGAGACAGAGCGGTGAAACAGACCTTCGGGATCAGCCAGCGGGGGGACCCCGACGCACGCGCTCCGCCGCTCCGCGCCGTTTACGCGGCCATCCCAGAATTTACAGCCTTTTGCCGATTTTGATTGTTGCGTGTGTGTGTTTGTGTGCGCGTGGCCTCGGCCTAGTTTTACTTTGGCCGCGGCGAAGAGTTGGCAGGATGCTTAACGACCCTCTCACGCAGAAGGGCGCCTCGCAGATAAATTATTCCTGCGAAGAACGTTCTTTGTACCCACAAAGAACACGGCCGCTTCGCAGACTACGAAGGGAATCGTTTGTGGTAGTACAGAACGAACTTCTTCGCAGCCTGCGACAGATTTGGTTTCTCTGACTACAAACAAAATTTGTTTTTTACAACACCTGTAGACACAGTGACGAAAACGACTCTCGGAATCGGTCTGCAGGGCGCCGAGGGTCACACCGGAGGAGGCGGCTAAAATTCTAGACGCGTTTTCCACACGTTCAGTTCGAATCTTGTTTACGGACTCTGGAGCTCGAAACGTGTCAAGAATTTTGGCCGCCTCCACTGGTCTTCTGGCCCACTGCGGGTCGCGTAGCGTCTCACCTATCGACGCCCGCCTGCGAGCAGATGTGGAACAGCTGACAGTCGACCTGCGTGTCGGCGTAGAAGCCCCCCGCCACCTTGTCGGCGCAGGAGAAGCTGGTCTCGGGCAAGGGGTCGGAGGTGAGCGGCTCGACGCTGGGCGTGGGGGTGGGTGCCTCCAGGGGGTCCTCCATGAACGAGTACTTGTTGTGGCCGCGGGCGCGCGTGGCGTGGGGCCGGGACTTGCGGCGCGGCGTGGCGGCGGAGGCCTCATCGGCGTCCTCGGGCACTGCAGGAGGAGGCCGTCCATCATTTTCATATTCAATGGACAGTGATGAATTACTGTGGGAATCCAATTAGCGCGAAAACTCTACTAACCGACGGGCGTGGCCGCGGTGCTCGTCACGCCCCGCTGCTCCAACAAGATGGCCCTGGAGGAGGCGCGCACGCGGCCGCGGCTGACGCGCTGCTGCTGGTGGTCCTGGTGGTGCGGCGGGGCCACGGCGTCGTCGTCCTGGTGCTGCGCCGCGCGCTTGGTGCGGCTGCGGCCGCCACTCACGCGAGGCACGTCGTCGAAGAACGGGTCGTCCTGCACGTCCTCCACGTCGTCGCGGTAGTCCTCGTACGCGTCCGCGGCGTCGGCGGCGTCCTGGACGTCGGTGCCGTTGACGGGGCCGAACAGGAAGCGCTCGTAGTCCACCTCGCTGGGGTGCATCGAGTCGTGCTGCTGGTGCGGCTTGCCCGGCCGCAGCGCCGCGCTGCCCGTCGGCGGACCGCCGGGGCCGCTCGGGCCCGAGGACGCCGACGACACCGTCTTGGAGGAAGACGACGACGAGGAGGACGTCCTCGTCGACGAGACGACGGCCACGCCGGGCGCGGCACCCGGCGAGGCGAACAAGGGCTTGAAGCTGATGGAGGAGTGTGCGGGCGGCCCGCCCTGCTTGGCGGCGGGGTGCTGCACGGACGACGAGAACGACTGCTGCGGGCCCTGGCTCAGGCCCTGGCTCAAGCCCTGCCCCAAGCCCTGGCTCAAGCCTTGGCTCAGGCGCGGCACCACGGATCTGCATACAGACAACACGGCGGGCAATTAAGACGACGAAGGTGGCAGTTCCCACCGGAACATGAGCAGCTCTCGGCGCTCCGGGGACTCCGGGGACCTTGACGCCCGGAGGGTAGGCAGCGCGAGCGCAGGCGTGCGCTGAAGCCAAGGGTTGCCTACCCGCCGGGCGCTCCCACTGCACAGTGAAACAGTACTACTGCACTAGGAAACTCACTTGGCCGGCGCGGACGGCGCCTCGGGCTCCTCGTCCTCGAGGTCGTCGTCGTCCTCCTCGTCCTCCTCGTCCGCCTTGCCGCGGTCGTCGGGCCCCACGAAGTAGTCGCCGTGCTCGGCCTGCGGCCCCGGGTGGTGATGCTGCTGGTGATGTTGCTGTTGTTGCTGCTGATGCGTCTGCTGGTTGACTTTGAGCTGGTGGAGGAGATACGCTGACTCGGGCGTGGGGCTGGGCCCGCTGGGCGTGGCGCCGAACGGCCTGAATGGTGGCGGACTTGGCGGGCTCGGCGTGGGCTTGGGCCGCGACAGCGGCGACAGCGTGGCGGGGAGCACCTGCGCGCCGCACAGCGGACAAACACAAAGAGGGGCGGATGACAAGAGCGGAAATTGAAAGGCAAACGCACACGCCGACGCGGTGCGGACGCCGAGCGCTCGACGACCACCGTCAACAAGCTCAACTTCATCGAGAAAATAGTTACCACTACGGCGGACCCGAACCGAACGTGTGGCCCCACCAATGGACTGCTCTCCGAACGAGGAATCCATTGGAGGGGTCACACGTTCCGTTCTCGTCCTTTTTAACGACGCTGGAGCTGAAAACGCGGCTAGAGTTTTGGCCGCCTCCACCGGTCCTCTGGCCCACTGTGCGGCCGGCCTCCCCGTGTACTCACCGCATGTGCCCCGGGCCTCGGGGTGGCGGGGCGCAGCGGGGTGGGTCCGGAGGGCCCCGACGAGGGCCCCGAGGGGGGCAGCCCGAAGCCGCGCGGCGGCGTGAGGGACGGCCGGCTGTGGTGGCCGATGGGGGAAGGCCCGCTCGCCCTGTTCTGCAAACAGTGATCGGCCACGTTATAGGCAGACTGCAGAGTGATTCCGAACAGTGCTTTCGTCGGCATGCTGCTATCTCTCTGGCTCCCTTACGGGGCGCCCCATGAGTGTGAGAGAGAGACCTTCCACTCAGTAGGACTATGGCAGCCAGGCGGGGCTAGCAGTAGACTCATTCCGAGAGTCGGTTTCGTCGCTCTGTCTCTCTCGGACCTGCAGGGACCGCCCCATGAGTGCGAGAGAGACAGAGCGACGAACCCGACTCTCGGAATGAGTCTGCAGCCCAGCGAGGCGCAGCGCGCGGCGAGGCGCTTCCTGCAGTGCGCGCCGCGCCTCGGCAGCGCCACGGCAGCGCGGCCATCTCGTTACGCCGACATAATGCGCGAATGCTGGCCAGGCTGATAAGCGTCGGGGTACCTTGTGCTGCGTCGAAGCCAGCAGGTTGATCTGCTGCTGGTGCTGCTGCTGCTGCTGCCGCTGCTGCTGGAAGCTCTGCTGCTGCTGCTGCGCCTTCTGCTGCTGCAGCTGCTCCTGCTGCCGCTGCAGCTGCAGGTGCTGCTGCTGCTGCTGGATGTGCTGCTGCTGCTGTTGCTGCTGCTGCAGCTGGTGCTGCTGTTGCTGCGCCTTCTGCAGCTGCTGCTGCTGGTGCTGCAGGCGGTGGCTGTCGACCGGGAAGTGGTGGCCCGAGCCGCCCCCGAGGAGCAGCTTGGTGGGGGGCGGCGCGGACAGCGGCGGCGCCCGGTCGTGCTGGGGGGCCGCGGGGGCGTTGGGGGCGCTGGGGGCCGCGGGCTGCAACCAAGCGACAGCGTTACACGGCGCAGTCCGCAGACAGTCCCGGACAGTCCGCACCTCGCGAGGCAAGTCGCGAGGCGAGGCCTTGACCCTCGACAGAATGCAAGATGCATATCTCGCTTTGGAGCCCCGCCCTGCCCGCGCCTGCACTGCGAGCTCACGGCACACTCATTCCGAAGTCGTTTCCATAGCTATCTCTCTCGCACTCATGGGGCGTGAGGTGCGAGAGAGACAGAGCGACGAGAGCGACTCTCGGCGGCCGCCTCCGGAGCAGCAGCCACCTGCCGCGTGTCTTGGCCGCGTCCGAGGCGCGCTTCGCGTTTTCGCTCTCATTTGCTTTGCAAATCGAGTGGGAGGAAAGGCGCCTCTCCTATCCGAGACGGAAGCGCCTCGCTTGGCGCGCCGCCGCTCTGTCTCTCTCGCACTCGCGGGGCGTCCCATTGGCGGTGCGAGAGAGACAGAGCGAGCGGCGCGGGCTTTATGGCTGTGGACGCTGCCCATGTGATAGATAGCGACCGCGGCTTTCTCGCCGCCAATCAATCCCGCGTCCGCAATCACGGCAAATGACCTGTACAGTGGCGTGGCGCTGCGGAGCACACCGCGCGGGCCCTTCCGTAACCCCCGCGGCCTTACCAGGTTGCCGCCGTTGGCCTTGATGGTGGACTGGAAGGCGTGCTGCAGCGCGAGCAGAGCGGCCAGGGTGCCCGGCGAGGACCCCGGGAAGCCGAACTGGCCGCCCTGCCCGCCCTGCCCGCCGGCCGACCCTGGCGACGGCGACGGCCCCGTGGGCGGCGGTGGCGGCCGCGGCGGCAGCGGTCGCGGGGCCAACGTGGTGGGCCTGATGGGGGCGGCGGTCGTCGTCGGCGGGGCTGGCGGGGAAAGGAAAGAGTTGAACTTGCTGGTTGACATACTCCTCGTTAAATTAGCAGGCAGTGACGGCCAAAGTTTTGAGAGTGGTGGAGTTGGTCGCGGTGCTCACCCAGGGTGGCGGGAGGGGCGCGGGTGGTTGGCGGCGTGGCTGGGGCGGTGGAGGGCGCGAGGCTGGTCCTCAGCGCGCCCTGCTGCCCCTGCTTGCCGTCGGCGTCCCCGAGCGACGGGCCTTCCGTCGACTCCTGCTCGCGCTCGTCCTCCTTGGCCTCGTCGTCGTCCGAGTCGTCGTCATGGTGCCTGCCAAGACGAACACACCGTGAGTCTCGCCGCACAGTGGGCCAGAAGACCGTGTGTGACCCCACCAATGGATTGCTGGACGCTCGGTTCGAGTCCCGTTTAGCGACTCTGACATACACTCGCAAACAAAAAGAACCTTACCCGACGGCGGGGCTGTTGCCGTACAGCTCGAGGTTCAGGTCGTAGAAGGCCTCCGTGCGGCTGCAGTCCACCTCGTCCAGGCGCTCGCAGACGCGCGTCTCCTGGTCGAAGACGGTGCCGTTGAGGCAGAGGAACTTGATGTCGGACACCTCGCCCTTCTGGCCGATGGTGCACACGTGGAACATCTGGCAGCCCGTCTCGACGTCCGCATAGTAGCCGCCGATCACCTTCCCCTCGCACGAGAAGTTGGTCTCCGGCAGGTTGTCGAAGTCCAGGTACTGCGCCGGAATCAAAGAGACACTGGTAAAACTACAAACCCCGTACTATCCGTAAGGTCTTTATGTTTTTCGAAAGTAGGATAAAGCTTTGTTTTATTTCAAAATAACACTTCTCACCCCGGGCTCCGACACCTGGGACACCACGGCCGGGTTGTGCAGCAGCAACAGCAGGAGCGCGAGCACCGCGCCTGCAACAAACACACAGAGTTTTGAAAACCAAACCAAGTGCATCAGCGTGACATTCCCTCAGCGCACAAACGCGCCTCGACAGAAAGAACGACAGAGAAACAAAATCGAGAGAAACAAAGAGAGACAACGCGAGTGCTATTTCGTAAGGCCGTTGAGCTGGTATCATTTGGCGGCGGGTGGGCAATATGTAACCGCACGGTGCGCTAGGCCTGGCCGGGCCGGGCCTCTGGGCCGGGCCCACGCCGACAGGCCTCGCCTCGCCTCCTCCTACGCGTTGCAGGGCTGGATATCTTTGTGATCGCTGTGCCCCAGTGAGAGGGCGAGAGGCCCGCCCGGGTTCAGGTGGCGCGCGCCGCGGCGGTGGTGGTGGAGGCGTAGTGTTGTTGATGTTGTCGCACAGTGGGCCAGAACACCGGTGGAGGCGGCCGGAACTCCAGACGCGTTTTGAGCTCCAGGGTCGCTGAATGGGACTCGAACCGAACGTGTGACCCCTCCAATGGATTCCTCGTTCGGAGACCAATCCATTGGTGGGGTCACACGTTCAGTTTGAGTCCCGTTTATCCATTCTGGAGCTCAAAACGCGTCTAGAGTTTTGGCCGCCTGCGCCGGTCTTCTGGCCCACTGTGTGTCGGTTTTGTTGTTGGTGGTGGTGGTGGTGGAGGTGGTGGTGGTGGTGGGATGCCAGAGTTATGTGGGCCCAGGGGGTGTACAGGACCGCAGCACGGCTGTACAAACAACCCGCCACTCAAAGTAACGACATGCTCGGCGAAACAACTAGTGCCCACTAAATCACGCTATGAAAAATTGTCAGTCGCACAGTCGAGGGGGAACCACTTTCAATTTTATGACAACGCCCGCGTAAGTTTTGGGCCACGTGTCAGAGAGTATTTTTAAAAATAACTTGGACACGATCCCAAACTTCAAAATTTCTTCTCTTTTATTCAAATTTCACAAACATTACTTTTGTGTGTGTGTCTTATTTGAAATTGGACTTGAGCCTCCCCTCGCTTCATTTGCGAACGTGACGTCATTTCCGAGCGGCCGAGTCGCGCATTCCTCGAGTCGGGGCGCCACCACCACACTGGAAAAAGCGCGCACCGCCCTGCCAAGACGCCAAGGCATGCAGCCAGAGTCGTCTGTCTCTCTCGCAGCGACACGGGACAGAGAGAGAGAGAGAGAGAGAGAGAGAGAGAGAGAGAGAGAGAGAGAGAGAGAGAGAGAGAGAGAGAGAGAGAGAGAGAGACGAAAACGACGCGGCTCTCGGAATCGGTCTCCGCCACTGGCCACTGGGCGTCGCAAGCCTTATTGCCTCTGGAAGCCTTCCGCGGACGCCCGCTTTTTATCGGCCAAGCGCTTTCACTGCGTCGCCGTGACGACGCCCCTCCCCCCCCCCCCCCCTCCCCTCCGCCGCGCGGCACGCAGCGTCACCTGCTACATCCGCGGCGTCTACTACACTGCGGGCCCTGCTCCGCGTTCTCCGCCTTCTCCGCGCACGCCGACTTGGCGAGCTAAATAAACTTATCCGACTGGCCTGGTGTTGACGCTGTCGGCCGCGGGGCGGGGCGGGGCGGGGCGGGGCGGGGCGGGGCGGGCGGGCGGGGCGGGGCGGGGCGGGCGGGGCGGTCGCCACACGTAATCGCCTGTGTAATGTAGCCGGACGCCGTGGTGGATGGAAAGGGGGCAGGCCGGCCGGCCGGGCGGCGCGCCGGGTGATTCAAAATTCGACAACTCGACTGTGAAACAACCAGTAAGGCCCCTGCGACGGGTGTTGCAGGTGCTGTTGTTGTTGTTGTTGGCGGTTGTTGTGCTGGCGGTGGTGGAGACTTGAATGCAGGTACGGAGCCAAGCGACCACCGGAAAGGCCGCCAATGCTACACATTCTGTTCCACGTCGGTCGTAAAAGACACGAGTCCAAAGAACTGCGTGCCCATGAGACTTCTCTCAATGCTGGCCATTAGAACGGACTGTAGCGCATGCGCCGCTCGGGAGTCAGTTCATTTTTTTTCGACAGATAACGCCAACGCCTCGGGCGTCCAAAGTTTCGTTCGGCGAATCGATTTCTGGCGAGGCCCGTTGTCGACGCCGCCGCGCCGACGGACCGCTGCGAACACTACACCCGCACGGCCAGCCGGTCGGCCGGTCAGCGGCACAACGAAACGAAAACGAAACGCAATACGAATCAGGAATTAGAAGGGTGTGCTGCCAATTGCCTGTCCTTGGGGGCCGCACACCTGATTGCAGCTGAGTAGGCGGGGAGGGGAAAAAGGGGAGGGGGGGGCACGGACAATGGATTATTCCCACACGGCAATACTCGCGGCGATACCGTCGGCGATACTCCGCATCTGATCGGCCGGTGCGTGCCGCTGCCGTTCGGTGCCGTTCGGCAGTGCGGGTGGCAAGGACGCTGTGCGTTGCGCCGCACAGTGGGCCAGAAGACCGGTGGAGGCGGCCGAAGCTCCGAACGCGTTTTGAGCTCCAGAGTCGCTAAACGGGACTCGAACCGAGCGTGTGACCCCACCAATGGATTGCTCTCCGAACGAGGAGTCCATTGGTGGGGTCACACGCTCGGTTCGAGCCGAAACGACCCATCGGAATCGCTCGGCAGAGCAAAGAAGGCGCGAGAGGAACGGCGAGGGCAGGAAAAAAAAAAAGAACGGACAGCGGCTAGACACAATTGGAGGCTGAGAGATCGTTTCAGAGCCGCCGAGTGCGTCTGTGTGCGTGTGCGATTGGGAGCGTTTGATTGTGTGCGTGCAATGCGAGTGCGCGAGTGTGTGTGCGGTGTGTGTGTGTGTGTGTGTGTGTGTGTGTGTGTGCAAAATGAACCGCGCTGCGTTGCCGACCCGGTATGAGAATGGTGAGCCCATTTGTCCCCACCAGCAGCGACAATTTTTCATACGGCGACAGAGCGATCCAATTCATAAACGGGTTGCCGGCCCCGGCGGCCCCGCCGAGGCCCGGCTGATGTAATGGATGGATTGGGCCGGCATGGGCCGGCATGCCGCGGCATAGGGCGGAGCGGGCGGAGTCGGCGAGCACACTCGAGGCGGTCCGGAGCGACGCGCGCTTTCAGGCAAGAAGCACAGCGATACGCCGCGCTCGAGCCTCACAACCAACACAGTGGATTGGCCAGAAGACCGGCGCCAACGGCCGAAACTCTAGACGCGTTTTGAGCTCCAGAGTCGCTGAACAGGACTCGAACCGAGCGTGTGACCCCACCGATGGATTCCTCGTTCGGAGGGCAATCCATGGGTGGGGTCACACGTTCGGTTCGAGTCCCTTTTAGCGACTCTGGGGCTCAAAACACCGTCCTGGATTTAGACCACCTTCACCGGTCTTGTGGCTCACTGTGAGTCGGTGGCGGGGCGGGGCGGGGCGGTCGCACCGATTTGCGTGGGTGATTTGTGAACGTGCCCAGGTCTGCGCGTGCCCCCCCCACACACACACACATTCGGTGCCACCACCGCAAGCCCCGCCAGCAGTCCAGTGAGACCCAGGGCTGCCCAGGGCGTGGAGTAGAGCCAGGGCCCAAGGCCGGGGCAGGCAGTGCCCTGTCGGTGCCCTTCACTGCGACTGGGCGACCCATTGTGTAACCAGGCTTCATGAAACCGTTTACGCGCAGCGCGTAGCCCGGCGGAGCCTGCGTGAGTCCCTCGGAGAGTCCCGGGAGAGCGGCCAAATTGGACATCTGTCCAAAGCCGGGAAGAAATTAACTACTGCGGTCCGAGGCGGACTCCGGGACGGGCGATGCACCGGGCAAGGCCGGGCAAGGCCAGTCGAAGGGACGCGTCCGGTGCGGCTTCCTGGCAACCCCGGAACCCCACAGAAAAATTGGGCTTTCCTGTACTCAAACGAGCATTTCAAGTCGCAATGTTCTCTCAGTTGCAGTTTCCAACCCACGCAGTCCATTTTTTCGCACCACAAATTTTTAACTTGCGAGAATCCTTCCGCAAACTCTGACTTAAAGTCAAAATCTGTCACGAATAACAGTATGCATAAATCCGATTTCCGAATCGGGCTGTCACTCCCGCTGTGACACTGGCTCGGCTTCCGAGCCGCCCACGCCGCGACCGCGCCGCGACCGCGCCCCGGCCGCGGGGTTGGCCGGTTGGTTCAAATTCGCCGCGTCGATGTCGTTTGTCTCTGCTGGGCGGTGTCAAAGTCAGAGCCGAGGTCGACAGTCGGTACCGGTTTCCCCGGGCAGACCGGCCGCTCCACCTAAATCGCACCGGACAATGCGCCCCGACGACCACGTTTTTATTTTGCTACCTCATTGTTCGAAAATCTGACTTTTCCTGCACTTCTCCAAAAAATTAAGCATCTTACAGCTTGTAAAAGGTAAGCAGGCTTCGCGGGTAAGCCAGCCGTGTTGATTGAAACGCACTGTTTCATACTTTGAGACCGTTTCCCGCCAAAATGATCCCGCGGTCAATTAGCGGTCTTTTCTTCGTGACGCTTCATTTTTTCCTCCTTTCTCTTTTGTCTCGTCATTGCCGTGAGAAGGCGGTGCGGTGGAGTCGGCAGTCCGACGCATGCCGGTATTTATTTCTCGGGTTACAGTGTAACAGTTACACCACGCCGCGGTCATCCCGGAGGACAAATGGAACGGAGCCCGCCGCTGGTGCCCGGTGCCGCCGCACAGAGGTCGCTCGCAGCGCCGCGCCACCATCGTCAAATTATTAAGGCCACCGCGCGGTGCTGGATGATGAGAAATTGTTCGGTCTGATAAGAGCCAGGTGAATAATCACGGAGGAAATAATGAGCAGGAAAAGGAGGGAAAAAACAGGGAAGGAAAAAATGGTACGGACGGCGCCGCTGTCGTGTTGAAACGGAGTGATGAAAATGTTTCTAAATATCGATGATCATCGGCGACTGTAATAATTGCTGTACCGAGGGGGTTTTCTTGCGCCGAGCGTCAGTGGGGACTTACACAAAGATAAGCGGGTCTATTTCGAGAAAAAATCTGCGGGTAGGAACTTGATATTTTCAGTTTCTCTCG